CAAACAACAACAACAACGAACAAACAGAAACAACAACAGCACTAGATTGCGATATAGCCTAAGTGATAAAGGTCCATTTTTCAACTGGATTAGACTTCAACAAAGGCACTTTTGATTTGCTGCAGTGCTTGAGAACTGCCAGCTTAACGACAAGAAACATTATATGAGGCTTCGTAGAGAGATCAGGCGCTTGTCAAAATGATGAGCTCTTTAAAAAAAAAAGAAAGGAAAAGAAAAATTGTTATTTTTCTGGCCGTTGGGCAAATTCTTTTCTCTATTTTTTTTTTTCTTAAAAAAAATATTTTTTTATTCAACAATTTGTAAGTCCATTTAAAAACATTTTGTTGCCTGATTTTTTTTTTTTTAATACTGAAAAACATTCTTCAAAAGCACGAAAAGAATCTTTACATTTGTACTATTCAAAGACACTCAATCTTTGGAAATCCCCAACCTTTGGCGGCAATTTTCTCGCTAATTTTTACCTCTGACTCCAGTCGCCCTCCACTTCTTTCTATCACAAATAATATCTCGACGTCTTTTCTAAATAGCTGGATATTTCTTTAATCTGTCCCCGCGGTTAATGCACAAAAACAAAAATGAAATTATGCAAACTGAGTCCCAAAAATGTGAAATTATGCGATTCTGTAAATTTTAACAAAGAATAATAAAGGAAAATAATCAGAAATTGTGCAAAAAATATCAAATTTTGTTCAATTATGCGGGTTGTATAAAACCCCTGCGACAGTTTAACACAAATACAATCTCTGCCTCCTTGACTGCGCTCTCTTCCAAACCATATGTAAGACCAAGTTGTTTTTCAATTATTTTGTTTTGTTTCTGTTTTTGGAGTTTTTATTTATAGTATTTTTCTTTTTAAATCCCGTGTCCTGATTTGGTGCCGAATGCTGATAAGTTGTGAATAAAAGGTGTTAGTGCGGTATTGCTGTCAGGAGTTGATTGTTTAGAAAAGCAAAAAGATCGATTTCTTTTTTCATAAGTTGTTTTTGTTTACTTTTTTTCTTTACAAAACTTTTTTCGAATTAACAGAGATTCTGTTTCTTTGTGTGTGTGTTTTTTGGGTTTGTTTTTGAAGGCAATAATTTTGACGATTTTCAATGATGAAGATGATGGTGATGATGATGATGATGATGATGAGGATGAGGATGATGATGATGATGATGATGATGATGATGATGATGATGATGGTGATGATGATGATGATGATGATGAGGATGATGATGATGATGATGATGATGATGATGATGATGATGATGATGAGGAGGAGGAGGAGGAGGAGGATGATGATGATGATGATGATGATGATGATGATGACGATGATGATGATGATGATGAGGATGACGATGATGATGATGGCCTGTACCTTCTTGCTTGGTCTTCCTGATGACAAGAGGGACCAGGTCGTCTAGAGAGTTCTGCATCCAGTGAGGGAGGCTCTTCAGGAAGGCACGCAGGTCGGCAGACAGACTGGGGGAGAGACGAGGGGGGGGGTGTAGGAACGTATTGTTACAGCGGACAGACTGGGGGAGAGACGAGAGGGGGTGTAGGAGTGAGATATAGTATCGTCACACTGGAGGAGACGGGTGATTAGGGGCCTATACAGGATAAATGATGCAATTTTGGTGTAGTCAGCTCAGTATATAAGAGTGAGACATAGGAGGCTCCAGTGGCTAAGTGAGTAGTGAGTTTTGACTCAAGCAATGTCAAGCAAGTGTCGGTGACACGGGGATCAGATGGGTGGT